CCTATATGAGCAGAAAAAAAACTGTAAGTGCTAACGCTGTTGTAACTGTTATGGGCTGTGATATCAGTTGCTGACTATGTATGAGTACTTCGATTAATCTCTTTACCGACAGTAATAAAGAAGAACTTTTTCTATAAACAGGAAATGCAAAGTATGGTCATCACCACTATAACTAAGAAAATACACTACATCTTTGCTTCTAGCATGGGAAATGCCACGTAGAGTAAATGTGCAATTAGAATATCAGCGTCAAATCCTTATCATTATCTCCTCTAAAGCTTGTTGAATAAATAAGGGTAATCCCTACTTCCATTAAATATTGTTTACTGAGGACTACTCATTAGGAAAAATTTGATTCTAATAGATTTAAGACAGGCATGTCTGATAGCGCCGTAGCTCATTAGATACTTTGTCATCGGAAGTCCGCACCAATTTCTTCGCAACAGAAAAGCGCCAAGAAATCAAATGTTTGACACCATGTTATACATCATTTGAAATAAGAATCTGTAAGATGTTGTTTTTGTTTTTTTCTTTAAATCTCAGCTGATAATAAGTCATTGCGACCGAATGTTACGTAGAAAGAAAAATATATTTTGAATCTTTCGAACTGAAACCTTGCGCAACAGAGTTATATGACTTATTAATCACAAGTCATGCCCTTTTCGCAAAGAAGGTCTTATTTCAAATTTGCGGTAAGCGCGCGACAAAAATGGGTCCCTCTTCTCGTTCTCTATCATGCTGTATATTAAGATTTTTCCTTTGGGAATGTCAGATCCATCATTCAAAGTATCTGCGAGGATCGAGATTTCAAACCTCAAAATCAAAGCTGCTGCTCTTTCTGCGTTTTACTTATTTTTCTTGTGTTAATTTGTTCATTTATCCCATTTAAGCATACAAACACACTGGGTTATAGAATAAAGTTTTCCAAATTCATGAAAATTTTGAGAAACTAGAGTTTTGGCGACACAATATCTTTGAAGAAGAGCTTTCAAAAGATAGTGTATATCCGATTATTTTGGTTATGCTCTAGGAATCTTTGAAATTCAAATTCAAGGAGACAGTTCGATTTTTGGAACGCAGAAGAGGGAAGCTGCTACAATACTACTCCTGGGTTTGTCGCCTACGCTGATAACGAAAATAACATGTATTCACCACGATATGACAATATCATCAAAATCATTTGTACTCTCACGACTGGCAGGGCCTTAGCATAGGATTAGGTGTGGGCTACAAAATACACAGCCTTGTCTAGAAGTAGTCTGCTGGGTTTAGCCTAGTACTGCTTACGAAAATCATGTCATATCGTACAATAAGCTGTATAAAATTAGGGTAAGGTGGTAAAGTTTTAGGTCAACGATCTTTCTGTACAGAGCTTTATGTCTACTGTATTCAAATGACTTTCCTACAGGGAGTGAACGGATTTCAACCATTATAGAAGTCCTATCGGGGGATGGATAGATTCATTTTATATTAGCAACTTCTCCCCTTCTCCAAGTAGGCTTTAGTGAATTCTGAGTTCTTCGTATTACAGAAATTTTGAGATTTCGGCTGATTTTCTCTTCCTTTCAAAAACTCAATTATAATAATATTCATCAAAGTCAAATCACTGGATAACACTCTGGATAATCACTGGATAATTCCTTTTTAGAGGAAGACTTGCAAGAACTCGTGGTTTTCTGAAATCAATTTTGAGTTTGAAAATAGCTGTACGAACATTCGACAACCCAACACCACGAGGTGGTTAGAGCTTCTGTTTCGATTGATAACTAAATCACTGTCAATTCTTATGCCGCAACTCAGCAATGTCTCAATGGCACCAAATTTCATCTTCAAAGCCGTTAAGCATTATTAGAGGATGGACCTGGACGACATGTTTCTGTAAGTGCCACAAGTTCACAATAATGTAGGGAAGGACGTAGGGACCAGCGCTTACTTCAGCAAACGTCACAAATGAATGGGCATCGATGAGAGAATCTTTCGTTGAGATCGAGACCTCTAGCAGAATATCTGCCAAATTCGTTGATTTGGAAGGCTAAGTGGTGCAGAGGTGTCGCAAGACCTACTTCAGTTTCGTCATCTTCGGTGATTGGCAGTCATCTCTCGGAATTGAACTCGATAGGCTACACTGCTTCGCAGTTGTAGAAGAGAAGCCTGTTAGAAACCTCACCTCATCGCTCTATGCGTTCATTGAAGGAAGTTCTCTAATAGGGTTGGAATGAGTTTAAATCAACATATTTACGGGGTATTTTACGCTTTTCGTAATTCTCAGACCTATACTATGCAAAAATTATTCAAGGTATGTCGCATTTAGTTTACCAGGTCAGCAAATATTGTAACATTTTTTCCTCAATTTATTACATTTCCGTCCTGAGCCAAATTTCGCGTCTAGTAAAATATGTAAAAACCAAAGCTACGCGGCTGCAGTTT